CGCCTCCCCTTTCCCTCCCCCTCTCCCAATCAAGTCCCCCTCCCTCGTCAGCCCAAAGAGCAATCCAAACTGCCTAGGCTCCCACAAAACCAATAGGTGCAGTAGGATCAAAAACCCATTGCCATTGTTCTTGGGGTCTCAGTAGCCCTCCTTTATTTATTTTCTTAACTTGTTTTGATTTGTTTCTTTGTTGGTGCTGTTTTCTGAGAAGGGGAGGTGGAGGTTGGGGAGGATCTAGGAAGAGCTGGAGAGAAAAGAATATTATCTAATTATCTTGTATAAAAAAGTTAATTTTTTAAAAAAAGAGATGTGGCTTAGTCTTACCTTCAAGGATATTATTCTAGTACCCTTAGAAACACCTGCGAGATTGCAAAAAGAACGTGACAATGATATATATTTCTTGGAAAGTTAAGTATAAAATCATTCCAAAGCAAAAGAGTGGAAAACCATTATAATACCCAAGAAAACAAAAATATCTCTTAGTGAGGGCTGATTCTTATCTTTATCGAGGCCCATAAACTAAGTCACAACATACAGAGAAAATAGCTATATAAAATTATTTCAAACTTTTAAAAAGTTTTTTTTTTAATTTAATGAGCGTGTACATAAAACTCTAATTTTCCCGGTGCCCTCTGAGACCCGAAATGAGCTTTAGATTGCCTGGAACTGGAGTCACAGACAGATGTGAGCCACCATGTGAGTGCGAGGAACTGAACTCAGGTCCTCTGCAAGAGCAGCAAGTATTCTTAATGGCTGAGCCAACTCCCCAGCCTTGTCTTTAATCTTCAATACACGCTCTGTTTCAGCCCCAAGCTTTAGTACAGAAAGAATCCATCACTCATTAGTTCATGCATGCGTTCACGTGCCGAATGTTTGCTAACATCTGCCTTGCATATGATGCTGTGCTTGTCTTCCCACTTGGCTTTCCCCCCATGACATGCTTGATAGCTGGGGGGGGGCTGGTTTCTACAAGGTACATCTAGACATAGCAGTGACCCTCACAAAGTCACCGTTTCTCTCTGCCCTCCGTTTCGGGAAATCCTCTCCATCTCAGATGTCAGAGATTTCATCCCCCATCCCCCAGCTTCCCCAGATAGAGCTGATGGGGAAAAAGCCTGGTCCACTGTGTGTCAACAGGTTCTCTCTCCTAGGAATCAGGGACAGAAAGATGGAGGCACAGCGAGCTCCTTTGGGAGGTTTGCATTGAGAGACTCTGAATAGACAGCTGGGTGAGGACATCAGAAGTGGTGGAGCCATAGAAATGACTGAGCAAACAAAGTAGGCCACAGAACAAGAACACAGTCTCCAGAGACACACACAGAACCGACAGTATTGTCTTCCCAGAGGCCTCCTGATCAGAACTGGTACAGGACCCGTGGGTGCTGATGCTGTTCAATACCTTTCGCCTTCCTGGCAGGGCTCCTCCTCTTTAAGCAAACTTAATCTGCGTAGAGGAAAATGAAGATCAAAGCTGACAAAGCAGGTATACAGAAGGAATGCTCCTTTGAAGCTAGTGCGAATGCAGTCGTGATGATACAGTATGACCCCCAGATACAGTAGAACTATCAGTTTTCTCGCTAGATGAGAACTGAGTGAAAAATATCAGTGAACTGAGATCTCCCTACTTACTCAAGAAGGGAACGAGTGAGCAGTTCTGGTCCTGAGAACAGGAAAGTAGAAGTGGCCCCTAGGAAACCTTTCAGAGTCTCAGGGGACTAAACCGCAGTAATACCGGTTTCAAGGAATTTACGGAAGAATTCTGACGGTGCCTACAGTTCAGTCTTCCACAGGTCTAATGACATAGAGTATCAGAAAACCAGGAAAGAGAATTATTTAAAAAGAATAAAGGAGTAAAACACCATAAATGAGGAGGAGGAAACCATCTAGGGTACCTCAAGAAGCCTTGCCACACTCGGGGAGGGGTCAAGTGAAGAACTTCCATGGGGCCAACAACGGCTTCTTGATTCTTCAACATAACTGGAACATGAACGGAAGATGTCTGGCATAAGATCGGCAAAGCTTCACCTTCCTTAGTAAAGTACAGGGGTGACCAGGCCAATAAGAATCTGTTACCAGCGCTCTTTGCTGAGAAGCTGGGTGGAAAAGGAGGCATGCAGAGATACTCTAGGAAGGAGAAACCCTCTCCCTGACTTTTCCCCACACAACAGCAACCTTGGGCGCAAGCCCCGGTTCACCAGGCGGTCCCGAGACTGTATGCAGAGTGGATGCCATAATCTCTGAGCCCAAATTCCATCATGCAAATGCACCACACAGAACTTGCATTTGAGTGCTTTATTATATTGGAATTGCGGTGATATTAACATTTGTACAAATGCACAAAATCTTGTCTCTTCTTGCTAGAAAGAGAAGTAAAAACCTGACCTAGTCGAACAGTCTCAATGAACTCAGTGTCCACTGGTAACAATAAATGCATTCACAATGCAACAAAAAGCAAAACAGAGAATTAAACACATTAAAATGCTGCAGCAAATATTTACACATATGCACCCCCCAGGGTTTTTTTTTCTCCCTCCAATTGGAAGGTGGTTGCTTTACAGACAGACACACAAACACAAAGTTTTTGCTGTTTACAATGACAAACAACCCCAAGTCCAGAACTTAAAGTGACGGCACCTTTTTCGGGGGGCGGGGGGCTTTTTCAGCCGACACGTACTTTACACAGTGCTAAACTTCTTTTTTTTCTATTATATTTTTGGACAATGTTTCTATTCCAATTGTCCTAGAACATTATGTTTAAATGGAGCCATTACTTGTGGGTCTTTTCAGAGAACATTTCAAGCATTTTTTCCCCTCAGAGACAATCTTCAAAAGGCAGCATTCCTTTCTGCAAGGCAGATGAGACTAGCAGAGGTCTTGGAAAGGAAGGGGTGGGAAGGTCTTCCTGCCCGCAGCTGCTTGGGAGGAGTCCCTTCCCTTAACTCCCTCCGTGGGGCACCGCTACTTCCTCTTGCAATGTCAGCGGTGTGGGGCATTATAAAGGAGCAAATGAGAATCTAATGCATTGATTGTGTGGAAGATTTTAATGACGTAGTTAAAGCTAATTTATCCAGGTCCCACATTCCCCAATGTGAGGTGAAGTGACTTTATGTTTAAAAAAAAATCCCTATAAAGTTCTACAATATAAACCCCAATGTAGGGAAACCTTAAATGGCTTAGGAAGGAATTCCTAAGTCTTGACTTCTAATGAGCTGGATGTTTTAACTTGGTTTAAATATAGCAGTTGATTATTGATTCCTTCCTGATGATAAGCTTGGAAAGGCATCAGAGGCCCACTTACTGGTATTAATGTTTGAACAAATGCTGGCAATTTGGCTTTATTCTATCTTTAGTTTGCAGTTAAATAGGTTTTTCTTTTTCAAAAAATAGATGATTTATAAGGAAAAAATATATAAACACTCTTTAAGCAATTTGGCTACAAGCATTACATCACTGAAAAGTTCCACAAGGAATAATAATAGCAAGAGACTTTGAACATGGGGACATATTTCTATGATCACAACACAATGAGCTAGGCTGATTTGAAAAGTTCTCTGTGTGTGTTTTGGTATGGGATTTTTTTTTTACTCATAAGTTTATTGCTCCTTTGTCTTCCGATCCCTCGTAGGCTGGGATTCTAAAACAGAGGTGCTGTCCTTGATCATGCTACAAGGTAACATTGTATTTTTGAGATGGAGGAATGAGAGGACAGAGCCCCTGTTGCTTCCACAGCCTGACAAGGACTCTGGCTAGTCACAGAGGCTACGGGCAAGAGTGGTGTGTGCGTGCCGCGGCACACCAGCGGAGAAGTCTCCCGGCTTTTTTCAGGACACTTTGGTTCGGAGGATGAGATAGAAAATCGTAAGCTTAGCTAGTTGCTGCCCACATCTGTTGCATAATATAGCAATTTTCAAAACCATGCAAGGAAGAAAGAGATCAAGGGGATAAATCATACTGTGTACTGGCTCTTCTTGACATTCTTGGAGCAGGCTTCAGGAGGCTGTGAGAAGCGCCGCTCAGCCGTGCTAAGAATGAGTGCGCACCCGTGATCCAGGTCTAAATGTTCTATAAAGTACTTGAAATGGTGCAGCATGGAGCCTTCACAGAACACTTGTACAGAGTGGAGCCAAGGCAAGTCGAAGGTCAAGAAAGGTTAGGGGGAGAAGCAGAGGAAGGGGAAGGGATCAAAGAGCTAAAGTGCAACTTTAAGATAGAAATTAGTTTGGAAGCAGAAGAGAGGTTCTGAACCGCTCCTGCGGCATAGGCACGGCTTCATCCAGGGCAAGTGACTTCCCTCCCCTTCAGATATGGCGATGGGATGGAGCTAGACAGACTTGAAGCCACTGCACACTGCTCATGAGGACCCAGGCCGCTCCAGGGAGCTGAGTAGTGCAAGGTGTTCTTGGAGATGGTTGTGCAGTGAAGAGAAGGAGGAGGAAGGCATTTTATACAAAAAATAAAATAAAATCGCTATTCTGGTTTTTGTCACCGATGCCCTTCAGTTGAATTTGCTTCCTACATGAAAGCGCTTACTTTAAACATGAAAAGAAGAAATCCTTTAAAAAAAAAAAGCCAACCTTGTTCAGAATGTAGATTAACCAATAACTCACAGAGCAGCAAACAAGCCTCCAAAGGTCTACTAGGCACAGAGATCTAAGCACGGGCTTCCAGGGATGGAAACCGCCATCCACGGCCCTGAAGAAAACAGCACCCTCACTAGGCTAGTTTATTATGGACTAACGCTTTCCAGACACGTAGACCCTACAGAAAAATAGTGTTGAAAATGGAATGTTTAAAATAACATTTATTAATAAATATCTTATAATTCTAAATTAATAGATTCCTGTTCAAATTTTACTTTGGTCCTTGAATCCCACTGTATAGACATACATACATACTTTCTCAGATGGCTTCATCACTCAAAGAGGACATTCTACCCTAACTGGAAGGCTAGCTTTAGAGCAGTTACTGGTGCTTCAAAATTATTCCAACTAAGGGCTGTTTTTGTTTATTTGTTTGTTGTTGTTATTTTTCTGAAGCTGGTTTATGGTTTCAACGGCAACCTCTAAGCTACTACAATTTGCTTTACTAGCAGACAACAGACACCTGAACACTCTCTACCGACAGCTCTCTCGGAACATGCACTGCGTTTTATTTCTTGACCAGATAAGCTCCAAGGAGCACAGGCGGAGTCAGTCACCCAAATTCTCACGATACACACCGTGATGGCACACATACTACTCCAACAGGTTGGGTTACTATGGCGACCTGCACTTGTTCACAGAAGGGTAGGAAAGGGTCACCTGGGACCACACGTAACTCCATTATCTAGCTTTGAGATTAGTACCTTCACCGGGGCTGGGCTTTCAATCTACCTCCCCCCCCAAATCATAGATCAAGGAAGGTGTCAAAGAGAAACAAAGCCTTTATCTGGTGAGAAGCCACCAGGCAGAAGGGCTCTGGGGTGAACTAAGTTACCAGCTCTCGGTACATTAGCAGGCAGGGAGGGACTGGAGAAGCGCCCAGGAGGCTGGCAAGGACTTTAGAAGCAGATCCTGTGATGATGCAGCCACACAGGAGTTAGGAGAGGCAGTGTTGCTGGGGCTTCCATCTTTTGAATGGAGGACTCCAAAGACCATTATCTCTGATTCACCAAGAGTCTGCATGGCTGACATTGTAACTGGCTGGGAGAAGATTATGGCATTAAAGGATGGTCTCCTGGAGTGGCCAGTGTGTGGCAGGCACTGCCAGGGTCATTTCAGGAAGGCTCTGCCATCCAATGAAGTCTGGACCTTTATGTGGAATCTTTATTAGGGATGGACCAGGAATTAGATTTCACCGAAAGAAGTTTTTCCCTTCGGGACTGTAGGGAGTACTGACTAGCTGGAGCCCTCTCTGCAGGAGCCCCCTGCTGCAAACAAACACACCTACAGGCCCTGCACGTAGCAAGAAGGCAGTTTATTCTAATTATATGTTGAGAAAGGTTTGCTGTGGGTGGCTTGCCTACTTAGCATAAAAAACAGACATAATTGAGCTATAAATAATGCACATCAGTCAAGCTGTCGAGCCGCTGAATTAAGAAAACGCAGGCAAGTTCTTAACTGCAAAGCCTGCCTGTTTAACAGCTAAGGATTTCAGCCTAGAGGTGGGAGAGGAGTAAACTGAAAATCGTCATTTCAGAGGCAGGCCACTCCCTGGACATTGTGGTGTTACCAGTGGTTTAAAAAAAAAATCCCTTCCTTCGAGTGCTACGCATGCAGGCAGGAAAGGGTCTTGCTTACTCAAAGCAAATGGGAGATACTAGCTACTAGCTCTGCCACCCTGACTTGCCCCCTTGTCCTTTGAGGGAAGCAGAATGTCTACATGGTCTAAGAATGGAATTTTGCAGAAAATTACTTTTGATTTCAAACCAGAGCGATGGATATTAACTTCTTTCAAATGTAAATCTTAAACATTTCTAGGAAGCCAGTTAGGTTAAACCATTCTGTTACTGCTGGAATTCAGAAAAAAATAATAACAATATGAATTCAGTATTTAAAATACTTGAAAATGATACACTTTACATCCCCTAAAATACAACAGAAAATCCTGCTCACCCCATCCTCTCTCCTCCCTTTTCATTCTTCTTTTTCTTTCTTTTTTTTTTTTTTACTTTTTTTTTTTGCATTTGTTTTCTTATTCTTAGGTCATATATCCAAGTCTTAAGCTTTACTGAACAGTCAAACTTGTCTCTCAAAAGCACAGCATACATGGAAAAAAAAACTGTTGATAAATATTGATTTTAAAAGTAAGTTATTAGATAAAACTGAACCTAGTTATAAAAGTCATGCTTCAGAGCCCTCATATTTTCTTTTTTTTTCCTCTAAAATAGATTTTTTTAAACTATAGTGAGCGAAAAAGTACATCCTTCCTTTACTGAACTCTTATAAAAGTGACAGCTTCTGTAAAATACTGTTCTTTTAAAACCTATACTGTTCATAAACACACACGTCCCCGCACACACACACTCAGGCACACACACCCACACACACCGACACACAGGTTAGAGGTGAAGTAGTATTTGGGCGGAGATGAGACACCAGCATACGCCTAGACTGCCAGTGAGAAACACATGATACCAAAACACCAGCAGAACAGTCGAATGGCTTGTTTCAAGGAGGCACAACTGTGGTGTGGGTTTGATCTGCTTTTCAGCATGGGCAGGTCCATGGAAGTTGCTGAAAATATGAATCAGAATCGTCCATAAGAGCGCATCAGCCTGGCCACCTCCATGGAACTTGATTGGCAGCCGGAGAGTCTGTCTGTATGACAGACTACAAGCACCCTGCAGAAGCACAGGCCTTGCTTTCTCCCTCTCTGTCTCCAGGAGTGAGCCTGCTTTTGCCCACCAGAATAGCAGAGCTGGTTCCATAGGCTTAGGAAAAAAATAATAATAATAAATCTTAGGCTATTAGCAGCTGATGACTGAACAATGTAATCTGTGTAGTGAACAGAGCCCTTCTGAACTATTATATAGTGCATGGGGTTTCAACATTATAGACAGGCCATAGAAACGAGTTGTAATTCGAGGGTGTGATGTCAGAGCCCACGTCCTAATTTGAACTTTCACAGTTGGGGCTTACAAAGTTCCCTTCCCTAGTGTCTCCACAGCTGGCATTCAGTAGGGCTTCACCTAGAACTGAATCACTTTTTATTTGCTCTGGTTATTAAAAACTTTAAATCAGGCACATTAAACATCTCCCGGCTGCTATTTTGTGAAAGGCAAGAGTGGAATGAAGTCCAGCTGTGTGTTAAAGTCGAGCGAAGCAATGGCTAGGCCCACACTTTCAAGACTTGCTCTTTTCCCTCTTTAGACATTATTTTCTTCTTCACATGCAAAGCTAAAGGGGAAAAGGCAAAGCCAAGAGTGAATAACGAACCCAGGGAAGTGGCAGTGGAGACGAATATTGGACAATCTGAGCAAGTGAGCAAGAGCAGGAGAGGGCCTGAGATGCTTGGTTGCTCTCTTGGGACGATGGACCATACTTTCTTTCTTTCTTTTTTTTTTTTTTTCTAGCACAAAAACAAACTCAGGAAAGCCCATGCGTTTATCTGAGGTTCTGGTGACGTCACAGCACGAACTCAACATGAGTTATGACATCACCAGATTTCCCACCCAGTTCCTGTGGATCCATCGCACTTGACATCGAAGTATACCTCATTTTGGCTAAAAGCTGTAGTTGTAACAAGATTCGTTGTTCCAGGCAAAGGGTTGGACTGGTAAGATTGAAACTATGGCTATATACAGGAAAGATTCCGTTTATAAACAAGAAACTGGTACCAGAAAATCGGAGAAAAGCACCAGCGCGCTTCCCAAGCTGATAGATATTCATTGCATAACTCCCTTTTTCTTATATAACTAAGTATAAAAGACAACATTTCCATAATAACTATAAAAAGGAAAGCCAGTCTTTGAAGGGCTGAGGCGTCTTCCTGGTCTGAGTGAATTCTAAAAATGCCCTTTGGAGAAAGGATGTATGGCATGGTCCAGCTCTTCTCGGGGGGGGGGGGGGCAGGTCTGACCACTGCCTTTTAAAGAATAGGATTGAGGTCTGTTCTGTGAGTCGTGAGCTGACTGAGGGTGGAGCTCCCCACGACCTCGCTGACCGAGGAGGACGTAGTGATGGTGTTATGCTGGATGACGGGCTGCTGCGAACATGCTGGGACAGGGCTCGCGGGAGGGCTACTCTCCGGACCTACAAGAGAACACAGACACACACACAAATATAGCTCTTTCTTGTGGGAACTCCTTGGGAACAAATAAAAACGTTATTAGACATTTACTTCGTGTAGAAGAGTTTCACACATTTTCTTCTGGAAGGTACAGCCAAAACTTCATTTTAAACCGAAACCACAAAGCTAATCCTTCCAGGGTTTATAGCTACGTGTAAAACCATACTTTCTCCATCAGTAAAAAATGACTCCTTGTGTTTGAGTCTTTGCGTGTGAACTTCCCCGTCTTGTATTTTCAGATAGCCATTCGTATATTAAACGTGGAAAAATACTCACATGTGGTGGGAGAATCTGTGTTGCTCAATCTAAAAAATTATTTGAAAACAAATTGACCTTCAGCCATGAATCATTCTTCCTCCCACCATCCCTTATACAACCAGCCTTTAGTATACTGCAGAAAATGGAGACGGGGGAAAGGGGCCCCACTTTGCCTGTTGGTAAACTCGAACAGCCCAGGAACTTGCCAGACTGGTGGGCAACAGGAGGTATCTCTTGAGACACTAAAAGTGATTCGCCCAGTGCTGCCTCCCAGCCCGCAGAATTCTCAGCCAGATCAACAGGCCGCTGGTAATTGGACCCCCACAGACTAGTTTCTTCCTGGCTACAAAGCTGGAATTTGGCAATGCAGAAATGCTAGGGAAAGTACAGCCAGAAGTTATCAGGAAGTGGTGGGCATGGTGTTGGAGAAGTCAGGAAAGACTGCCCCCCTCCCCGGCAGGAGAGCCTGGAATCACTCAATTATTTCAGTATATCTTCCTGGGTGTGTAACCTAGACTGTGTTTTTCCCTTTTAATAAAATGCCATGCAAAATTAGTGATTAAAAAAAATGTGGCTTTCTAAAGAACGAAACAGTGACTTACTTAAATATCCTTGTGATTCTTTCTGCATGGCTGTGATCGGGCAGTCTTTATGTGTTAACAACAGCTGTTTCAGCTGGGCCACCTCGTTTTTCAACATGGACACTTCATTCTGGAAAGACACATTAAAACTGTGTTGAGAAGTCAAAAAAGTGCAAGTGCAAAGTCCCACCCACTTTCAACCACAAAATTCTCCAACTTTACTGTGTGAGTCTAAATGGCATTAAGAATATTATTTGGAGAGATGGATCTGAATTTTGTAGCTTTCCTTCAATTTGCTATGGGTCTTTTGAAGAGACCAGAGTTTAACCCAGGAACTGAACCCTACTTAAAAAACACATTATCCCCTTTAAGTGATGGCCCTGGAACCAGGTTATAAAGGTGAGAAGCCCTTCTCTTCACTGACTATGCAACCCGAGAGAGAAAACACAATTTGGTTAACCTCCACCATTTAGAAGATGGGCTCAGAAATAGTACAACATACAATGAGCTTGGTGACACCCAGGACACAAATTTGACTTTCCAGGCACAAATCAACTAGAGAAGAACATTCCTGGAAGTTACTTGAAAAATTGAAACTGTTTTTTTTCCCCTCTAAAGAATATCTCCCACCTGTAAATGCATTTGGAGCACTGGATTCAACTGCACACTGAACAGATTGCTAATAAAGTAACAAATGTCTCAACTGCAAAAGTTTTCCCATTATCCTTCAAACTACCAAAAATGGTAACAACGAGAAATTCACCTAAATATGAATAAGTCACCTAACGGTACAGAAAAGTTGCTCTTAAATCTGAGAGCATTCATGAAGGCAAATGGTACCTTCTACTTCCAGTGAGTATGATCGACAGGGGCCAGCCATCGCCCAAAGTGACATTTGGCGATTCTGGGGCAACTTTATTTTACAGGGAAATTCCCATCAGTCATCAACCAGCTCTTCTTTGAACTCTACCTGAATTATGATGTTTAAATAACCTTCTTTGTATGCCCCCCCGCCAAGCTCTCCTTGTCTTTAAAATAGTATGTTAGAGTCACCTTTAGACTACTATATAGACTTTTTCTTAGAAACCTGTTTAAAAATAAAATCAAACGACTCAAAATGAAACCGAGAACTCTGATGTGTGTATATTTTTGCACGCACACATCAAGATGAAATATCCCACTACTTGTGAACTTTGCAATGATGTTTTTTCTGAACACACAAGTCCTGACACCTGTGCCCTCAGCAAAAGTGGCACTTAGAAAATGGCACAAACTCCACCCCTTTTCTACTATGGCGCAGAAAACAACTAGCAAAGTATGAAGGCCAAACATGGGGGTGGCTCGGTGGGCAAAGGGGCTTGCCACCAGGAGTGAGGACTGCAGTTCAGTCTCTAGGAGCCACATGGTGAGGCAGAGAATCAGCTTCCACGGTTAACCCAGTCTCAACATGTGTGACCGGGCACAGACACACCCTACAATAAACTAAGTAATTTTAAAATTAGCAAACAAAGCCAAACTTTATCATTTTGCTTTCTTAACACTTCTTGAATTAGAAATAAATCATGTTTGAAGGTCGTTGGCCAACTTGGAGAAGGTGAAGGCAGGTTGCATTTTGTCTCCCACTGTGTCCTGGGCAGTGACCCTTTATAGGCAACATTTGAGCTCTGGTCAGGGTGTGTCCATTGCTTTTTTTTGAAACACCAATAATGCCACTGGCCAGCTTTCCACATTACTGGTGGGAACGCATCCTAAACTCATTCACGACACACTTTCTGTTTCCACAGAGCCGTTGTACTATGAAGCAGCACACACTGCACTATGAAGCAGCACACACTGCACTATGAAGCAGCACACACTGTACTATGAAGCAGCACACACACACACTGCACTATGAAGCAGCACACACACACACTGCACTATGAAGCAGCACATACACTGTACTATGAAGCAGCACACACTGCACTATGAAGCAGCACACACTGTACTATGAAGCAGCACACATTCAGGTCTCTCACTAAAACTAAGCCAGAGCAGCGTTTGGTTCATTAATGAACCAATGTGTTGTAAGGAGAAAAACCGAGATCTTGAGTGGTGTAAAGTTCTGTAAGGATGCAGGAACAAGGACTGAAGAGATGCTTCAGTCCTCTTGTGAGGACCTGGTTTGGGTTCCCAGCATCTACATGGTAGCTCACAACGATCCGTAACTCCAGTTCCAGGGTATTTCAACAATGCCCTCTTTAGTTTCCATGGGCACTAGGTACATACATAGTGTATATAAATTCATGCAGGAAAAAACATAACATAAAAAAATAAAAGCTATCTAAAAATGAAGTAGGGACTCAGAGTGCTGGAAAAACTGACCATCATTTAAGGATATACTCGAATATGTACATATTTCTCATGTTAGTAATTGTGTTAGTTGGCCCAGTCACAGTTGGAAAGTGAATACCAGTTAAGAACATCATCAGAGAGAAATAAGCAGCCCTGGCTTCAGTACACATCACTCTGATGCTGTGGGGAATAAGGAAAAGCCCGAGAGCCTTGGAATTCTCGTACAGCCACCCACAGGAAAAGCAGCTCCTTCCTAGGGCTGAGCACCATGATCAGGTGTGGCGGCCGAAGGCCTGGGGGTTGAAGGGGCCGCTCAGTGGTACAGTGCCTGCTGGCAAGGGCAAGGCCCTGGATTGCGTCTCTAGCACTGCGAGTCAAACAAGATGACGCCACTTCTAAGGACAGTAGTAGGGGCTGACTTTCCAAACCACTCCACCCACGTCCAAACCAAAATGGCTGGACTGGCTTATTTCTTCCCAGAAAGACAGCTTCTTATTCCAGAGGGATTTTTGTGTTGCCTTTCTGTTGAGAAAGCCATTTACCTAACTATCAAACGAAGGAGCTGATCTCGATCTTCATTTGCCAGTGAACTACTTTGAGAATTCTCCCAGGTGCTTATATTCCAGGCCTTGTATCTCATGAGGAAGCCAAACCCAGCACCCTTTGGAAGATCAGATGTTAACAGTACACAGTGCATAGTCATAGTTTCATTACAGGGGGAGAGAGAGAGAGAGAGAGAGAGAGAGAGCGCATGTATGTGCACATATGCATTTGCACTAAGAAAGAGTGTCTGAAACCTTCATCAGATGCCACAAGGGCCCTTTGAGCTGACAAAGGGCAAGAGCCGCTGAACTGGGGAAAGGAGACTGGACTGCCGTCCTAGATGGGATGCTGGGATGCTCTGCACACACACGGCATCTAAGGAAGACGGAAGCAGGGAGTGCACACGCACTAGACTGTGCTTCTAGTCAAAATCTTTTTCAAGGTAAGAGGACTAGAATCACCTTGAATTCATTTTGTAAGAGAAAAACCAGATAGCAAATGTCTCAAAAAATGCATGGAAGAAGTCAATTTTGGCCTAGAAGTTCAGCAAGGAAATAAAAGCCAGAACCGTGTGAGGCATCAACTCACTTTATGAATTGAGGAAAAAGTTCACCTTTGAAGTTCACCTTGGTGCTTGTAGAAAAACAGTTTTTAAAAACAAAGTATAACTAATAAACGCACTCTCTGGTTGAAGTCAGTCCTCTCCGCTTTCAGCTGCAGAATGAATCTGAGGTCGCTGTTCTTAAAGCAGTTAGCTATTTAGATAATGATGGTTAGAGCGGGATCCCGTCACACTGATGTGTTTTTAATCCACAAATCTGCCTGGGGGTGAAGTAGCAATCATGTCGAGGTGTTCCAGACTTCAATAATATCCTTTAAATGGCACGTTCAAAATTCCCTGACAGGCACATTGACAGTTCGGGGCTTTGGTAATGTCGTTTTGTTATATGATAAATCCACAATGCTTCTTGGTATAAGCTGGAGTTTGTGCCAAAAACATAATTGCCACAAAGGGCCCAGAACCCCTCCCCCGCTTCAGATTAGCTGAGGGCAGGTTTGGTCCCCTCAGAAACAAAGGACTTTCAATTTGTCAAGCAACAGTTTCCATCTGGCCTGCTCCCTTGCCAAGTCCCAGACCTGGGTTCGTGTGTCTAAAATTTCAGCATCAACTTAGACCATGTGTCTTTGCACTAAAAAGGAAAAGCAATTACTTTAGTGGGTGACCAGATGATTTCCATATCCCCACCGAATGCAAGTGACCTAGGCCTGCCACAACAGCAGCACATGGTCACAGCAGTACACACGGACACAGACCCCCTCAGCGCACGGGCTTCTTAGACGGGAAAGATGTCAAGGCAGTGACTTAGGCCCACAGGTGATTTGGCCAAGTCCTCACTCACTCTTTTGATACTCACTGGTCTTCTGACATTTGGGGTGACTTCTGATCTCCCTAAACCTCAGTTTCTCCATATAGTAAAATGTCAGGTTAGGCTTTTTCTAACTTTCTCTAAATCCTACACCTGCGTTTATCCTCTTGGGCAAAGATTTGCTGTGAAACTAGGCAAGGAAGACTGGGGTCTGCTTTTTGTTTTCCTAGCTCTTGTTTTTCCAATCCGGAGCTCTGCGGCAGCCTGACCAGAAGGTTCTATTCTGGAAAACAACTCAAAGGTGGCAGCTGGCCACTCGGACCTTGGCTATTCCATCTGGCTGCACTTTGTTTGTTTAGCACCTTCTATTTCTGTTTACTTAAAATCTGGCTCATGGAACCAGTCTCAAGAGAGACACCTTTTTCTTCTGACGGTGAGTGGAAAGGGGTCACCCAAAGGTGGCGGAGGCTGTGACATTCTCCCCCGCATCACAGGGCATGACACACAGCACACAGTACAAGAGAGAACACGGGGCTGCTGTGGCTTTTGTCCCTCTGGTCCCAGTGCTGCAGGCAATGGTTGAAAAGTGACAGTAAGTGGTCTTGCTGAGCTTTTTTGCTTCCCCTGTACTGATTTTGTAACCAAAAATTACCAGTGTCTGCTGCATAGACTCTCTAGGGCTGAGGTTTCTGTTTTTCGTAATCTCTGTTCTTGGGACTTAGTACCTCTTTTTCTTGGCTGTCTTAGCTATTTGGGCTCTAAAATACTAAGCGTGCGCACACACACACACACACAGACAGTGAATTAGTGTCTAGCAAAGGGTAAATGGACTTTGTATGTTTTTTTGAAAGCAGTCATAAATAAGTACATGTCAAGGCCCAAACGCATCTGACCTCAGACTCCAGGGCATCTTTCTGTGCAGTTCTCTGCTGTGACTCTCCACAGCAAAGATCCCGGAGAAAACCCGCAAGGACTCATTTTAATTCACACTGATTTAAAGTTTTGAATCTGACATGTGTCTGCTGGTTATTCACGGCTCTGTTTTAAAGAACCTGCACTCATCTGAAGCTAACTTTTGTACCACCACACTCTCTACTCCAACCAGGGGTGGGGGCAGGTGGCAATGTCTGGAGACATTGTAGTTGTGCAACTGAGGTAGGGGCTTTCTCCTGATTCTAGTCTGTAGAAGCAGAAGATGCCATGAAACAGCCTATATTTCACAGGATGTAACAAAGATTCCCAGAGTCAACGGCTCTCAAATTGGGAACCCCATGGGCCTCCACCCCTGTAGAGCTCAGAACTGCTAGGAAGCAACTCCTACTTCGCTCGTTGCTTAGCCAATGCCACCATGTGTGCTGGGTCTGCCCAGCCCGGAGCGTTCCCTCATTATAAAATGAGTTACCCATAGTGCCTGTGAAACTGTAGGTTTAAGGTTCCAATCATACTTCAGCACTTTTTTTTAAATTTGTGTATATCTGTGTGAATGTATGTCATGTGTATACAGGTTCCAAAGAGGCCAGAAGAGGTCATTGGATGTCCCAGAACTGGAGACACAGGCAGCCATAAACCACTCTATATGGGTGCTGCGAACCAATCTTGAGTCCTCTAGAAGAGCAGCAAGTGCTTTTAACTGCTAAGCCATTTCTTCGTCCCTTAATAACATTTAAAACACGTGTCAAAGTGAAAATGGAGCCATGAATGCTAAAATGCTTATCCACGCTCTTGTTAAAAGCTCCTCACAGACTAGTCTGCCCAGCCTGGGTGTAGCTGTGACTTTGAAGGTGTCTAGCTCCAGACACCGCTTTGTGGTTTGATGCTCTGCAATCAAACCAAGTTGGTCAGGCCGCCAGCCTGTGGACACTCTAGAGACAGGGAGCTTGTTCAATGATAAAACAAAAACAAAAACCCTGTGTAGGTCCTATGCTAGAAGAGGGAATAGCCAGCAGGGAGGAGGTGCAGTGAAATATGGTCCCAAATGTGTATATGAATTGGCATTCGATCTTACTTTTATGTAAGCTGTACATTTTCTAACTTCATCATGCCTATCATAAAAAGGGTGATATATTTAGATGGGGGGTATGAATGTAAGTTATTGAATTCAAGAAGATACACCAATCTTCCTCTGTATACTTTTGCTTTGTACACTGGATGCCACGATTCCTTTCTGTTTAATGCAACTCACAATGCAAAGACACTGGGGTTTGCCATCCCAAGCGTTCCTTTGAAAGGACGCACAGATGACTGGGGATGTAAGCTCGGGTAGCAGAGAGCTTGCTAACATCAGTGAAGCTCGATCCCTGGCACCACATAAAGCTGAGTGTGATGACATATGCCTGCAATGCCTGCACTCTCCAGCTAGAGGCAAGGGGGTCAGAGGTTCAAAGTCATCCTTAGACACACAGCAAGTTCAAGGCCAGTGTGGGCTACCCAATGCTCTGTCTCTAAACAAACAAACAAACAAACAAACAAACAAATAAAGCCTATCTATAGGTGTTCTGAGACTGGCTGGAGAGACTATCAATTACTAGTTGTTACAGTCTTTCTATTGAGTAACCTTACACCCTTCCTTATGTCCATGGGTCCCTCTCAACTCTGGGAAGGGCTGGTTGAATCTAAAAACACTTCCCAAGGTCCCTGAAGGTGTTTGTCATATGTCAATGTAATTGGCATTTTCTCTTGAGAACCTTCCTGACCTTAGAACCAGCAGCCTGAATGGCATCATTGGCCTGCTGGGGTTCTCCCGAGAAGCCCACACATTGGTTACTTTCCTCATTGCCCAGGACAACCCCAGAAACAGCTTCTCTACAGATGTCCCTAGCTGTGCCAGCCCTGGAAAGCAAAAATCACACATGATTCCAACCTTGCTGAGTTTGGAATGAAGATGAAAACAGGCTTTTACTTTCAGAGCACACAAAACTAACAACAACCAAACATATAAAATATTCTGCCATTAAAAAACAGAAATACAGACAACCGGGTGTATGCCAAGGTACCCTCAGCCTGGTGGTTCCACATGGCTTCCAGACGAAAAGCCTTCCGTGCCAGGGACCATTCTAACTGCATCATGGACATCAGCTCACATCTTTCCCCCAACTCTAAAGTTGTTCCCCATTTATACATGAGGAAACCAAGAGCCAGAAAACTTAGCGCAGTCAGTAGCCGCCAAACCCAGGCTTGAAGTCACGCTTCTGTGTTTGGTCCCTTGCGTCCCTCACCTCTTGTGGGAGGACCGTTGGCACCGAAGCACTTAATGATGCTGGATGAGAGGGCCTGGGGTTCCTCTGAGGCGAGGTGTGTGGTAGGATGCGTGGGTCAACAAGCGGCCGCAGGGCAGGAAATGCCAACCCTGACAAGGCTTGGGGAAGGGATTGGGGACCGCACCTGAAGCTGCATGTTTGTCTGGGTGAGCTCTTCTGCTTTCTTTTCCAGTGACATCACCCAGACCTTCCTCTTCTGTCTGCAACGGGTGGCGGCAGCCCGGTTCCTTTCCAGAAACTTCCTCCGCCTCTCATCCGGGTCCTCATCCACCACCCTTCGCCGGCGTCCCCCTGTAGGCTGGGGCGGTTGTATGGTCTGGGTTGGTTGCATCTGTTGTGTGGCTGGTGAAACCTGAGGGGATAGAGAGAGAGGAAGTGATGGGGACCCGGAAGAACATGTTGGGTAAGGAAGACTCCAGAGCCAGGGTTACACGAGCAAAGCTTAGGAAGTCCGTTGCTTTTTAGTAAGCATGTGAAACTTGTTCTCAGTGAATGAAATAAACAGTGAAACCACACGTGTGAGAGCAGAGTCGCTGAGCTGCAGTCTGTGGATTTGGGCCAGATACAGGTGGGACTAACAGAGGGCCCCAAGCAGGGGAATTATTTTCTAGACGGGCATTTGGAGGATCACGGGTGGGGGGTGGGGGGCACGACACATTTGTTTCTTCTTCAGGTATTAAAAGTGTCTTATTTAAGATGCTTTAAAGAACATTACATTGTGCTATTGTATCTTAGAAAAAAATAAAAATATTAAATTGGTCCTGGGCGGTTCCTGGGCTGAAAAAGATGATGTCAAGGCTATTTCCATGACATCATTTTCTTTTTTGTTTTGTTTTGCAGAAAAATCTCGTGGCAGGCTGTGGGCTCCTTTGATTCCAAATGTGTTTAAATCACATCAGGGGAGCACACCTATGGGACACTGTCACTGTCACCCTAGACTCCTATAGAAAAGCCTTGCAAATGCAGCATGCAGTTGGGGTCCTAGTTCATTTTTAGTACCTGGGACCAACTGGACCTACAGCCTCCAGGTGGGTGTGGTCTTCAAGGTCCTCAGGGCTCTGATTAAGAAGGAGGGAGTCCCAGGAGGGTTTTCTAGGGTAGGGCAGGGTCTTAGAAAGCTGGCGATGGCGGCCAGCCCTCCTCTCTGTTGCACACTGTAGGGTTAGACGGTGAGGACAGGTTGTCTCACACATACCTACGTTATAAAGAAACACTAGGAGCGGTCACATACTTTATTAAAAAGTTTTACTAAGCTTCGAGACCCCTTGTAAGGCCTACGTGGGACGCCACAACATGGGGAGGTTGGAGACCCCCACACAGACAGCTTTATTTCCCTCGAAGAAGCAGACATGCGGTACCTTGTGAAATTTCTACAACTCCTCTTTATATGTCTGGACACCTAATGCTTTTGCTAATGCGCTTTGCTCCTTCCTCCCGCTCCTGCCTCTCAGTCACCCAGGTTTACGGTTGTAATACCTATAAAGTTGTTTTACAAGAGACATTTAACCTACAGAAATAACAGGCAAAAAGTTTTCAAAAAGCTAAGCTCAAAACCCTTTACTAAAACATTCCAGCATCCATGATTGAAATCAATCAGAATGACTATAATCACACTAATAGTGGCCGCGGGTTGACATCAGTTGACCGATGGGGATGGATTTCAGCCCTAAACTCTGCCAAACCTTCTATGACTAAACTATAAAAGAATCAGGCTCAGGAGGTCGGTTGAACAACATCTCAGTAATTGTATCTAAAGCGAAGAGGTTTTCTGAAACTCTTTATTGACAATTCCTTTCGGCCCAATTCCAAAGGAATCATGAAGTAAGTCAATTTTCTAAGGTCTTACTCACAGGGGTGGCTGCCTATGACATAATCTCTGCCATTGGCTGAGATGTAGCAAAGTGTGTCATTTCCATTGCTGACCCCTGAGCTGGCTCCCGCGGAACCGGGCAGCAGGAGGAAGCAGGCTGGCTCTTTGCAGCTGGCCACTTTCACGTCTGCTTTTCTCTTGTGAGATCTCTTACTATCCAAGATGAAATTAAGCAGAACTGGATTTTATTCTTCAGAGCAAAGACTTCTCAATGCCATGTGCTACTCCCCTGACGTCAATCAAACTGACGCTCAGACATCTTTCCTGTACCTTTACCCTGTGTGCTAACTGAGGGGGAGTTGAGGCCCAGTGTGGGTCCAGGGGTTGGCCTAGGGAATGTTGGTTAAGCAATCTTCCTGGTGACCATGAAGTGTCACTTGCCTTCTGAAATTCACGTCTATGTTGGGCATGGAAATCACAGGCAGCCGGGAGGATTTGAAGACACAGCCTAAAACCAGAATCTGTGTTCCTGCTAACTACCGTGACTCAGTGTTTTATGTTCAAGGTGGAAGTCTCTCTGCAGAGCTGCTTGGCAAATTTTGATTGAAAAAAATAATAAATGGCCATGTGAAGAAGACAGAATTTGTCCCAAATTAACTTCGACTCTCAGATTTGAAAGGACCATCGGAGATTTCTGTATCTACTGTTCAGACTAGCAAATAATTGAAGAACTTGACAAGACCTGCTCAGTGACCAGCCAGGTCCACATAACATAAGAGTGGTAGTGTAGAATATTGTTGAAATGATCCTTAGATATGGAGTCTTTCTTTGTAGAATAGGATTTAGAAAAGAAACTCTGGGTGTAGCTAATTACAATAGCAATTAGCTAATTGCATATACAATTGGGCACTTACTGACTTGAAACAGGGCAATTGGCTAATTGGCACTTAGCTAATGAATGGCTTTCATATTTTAAAAAAGAACTGTTAAACTTGTCTCTGAAATAACTTGCCCAGAAAGGTGCCCAAACCTTGATGTCCTTATACTTCAGTAACAAACACAGAGTGTAAGGATTGCCTTTGCCTGAGATGCTTTTTTTTTCCCTTTTCTTTCTTTCTTTTTTTGATGCAGATTCAGAACATCAGTTAACTAAAATGTAAATAAAAATACACTCTAGGGGAACCTGTTGTTACTGAACTACTCACTAAACTTCTTTTGAATCATTTAAGTTTAGAATTGATCCTGAATAACATGTTTTGAAAACTTTTTCAGAGTCTCTGTGGCTTCATAGTCATGAGAGTCTGTTTATTTCATCCCATTGGCAAATGGGAAAGCCAAGGTTTGTGGGAGGCTAATCTATATCTCTGTTCACAGTCTCCAAAGTCAGTCAAGGAACGAGCTGGTCCTGTGCTGTATAGCACATCTCTTCTCGCTATGCAGAGCCCCACTAGGGGTCTCTGCAAAATTAAGTTTATCTAACAGATTGGTTAGGAAGTTGCCTGTGACTGTCTCCCCCCCCCACACACCCCTTTACCTTTCCTGGCTTGGGTTTGTTAGGGCAGGGAGCTCGAGAGCTCAAAGCCTTGCCTGGTCTGAGAGCTTGTGTCTCTCCAGAGGCAGACAGCGGAGGAGAAAGTGAATAAGCATTCCTTGGCAGACCCTGGTTCCAGTGCCATTCTGACCCAGCTGGTTAGGACTGGGCAGAGAGGAATGGGTGGAGGAGACACCAAAGGTCATCTTGCTCGAAGCCCCAAGTGGCTAGGGCTCACCACAGTCTTGGACAAGTCCTTCAGCTACTTAGGAAAACCCAGTTCTGTACAGGGACTTGCTTGTCTTCTTAGCCTGGGTGACATAACGTCTGCCTGGTCCCCCAACTCTCTTCAAGGGCAGTCTGCATGCTTGTCCTCTTGCTGGTCAGCCCTACTGACTGTACCCCTGGGAGCTGACCTTTCTCTTGGTCTGATTGTCTGCAGAGCTTGGCTGCCTCTCTGCTTCCTCCAAAGTGTTTCCCAGTCAGGGGTGAGTCACTTCTCACAATCTCAACAGCACCTTGGACCCTAGCATCCCTTGACAAGCTTCTTCATTGTCTCTCCAGCCTTTTAACTGTCTCCCCCCCACACACACACTCTCCCTCTCTTCTCTGCCTCTCTTTTGGTGTGGGTGCTCTGTCTGCACGTACACCTACATGCCAGAAGAGGGCATCAGATCCCACTATAGATGGTTGTGAGCCACCATGTGGTTGCTAGGAATTGAACTCAGGACCTCTGGAAGAGGAGTCAGTGCTCTTAACCGCTGAGCCATCTCTCCAGCCCTGTTTAAGTTTCTTTTAATTCTCCTATCAATATTTACTATTTTTTTTTAGGACAAACCTTGTGACACACTTGCAAAAATACAGGGTTTTGAGAACTTCTAGTTTTCATTTGTTCCCTAGAGACTGAAGCGGATATTTGCCACATTATTTATAGAAATTATGACCCAATCGCATCTTATCATTCACGGCCACTTCCTAGGAAACGGACAGAGCTCCCCAGCATGTCAGCTGGAGAACCTAGGCTCAAACAAGGGAGCAAGAGATGCTTGCGAGTTTGTGCTTGCGCGGTTGGCATGCGGAAAAGAAGGAAGAAACGCGGGTGAAAGTCTACCTGTGCTTGGTTGCCGGTGTGCAGGGGTGGATGTGGCGAGGTCTGGTGGTGTGCCGGGTGTGCATGAAGGTGGGAATGGGAGTGGTGGTGCGGGTGGTTCTGTTGGTGGTGAGGCTGTGGGTGGGGATGGTGGGCGGGGTGCTGGTGCTGGTGCGGGTAGGGGTGGTGGGGCGGCAGTGTCTGGTGCTGATGCGGGTGCGAGTGCATGTGGTGGTGCGGCGTCTGGTCTTGCCGGGAGCCCATCATCTCCATCATGTGTCCGATGGTGCTCATGTTCCCATTCGACATGGCCGCGGGGTGGTGGGTCAGCGCGGCCTTCAGCCTCTGAAACAATAAAAAGGGGAGGGAAACCGAGGTCACTTATGTACACGGTGGAGATTTTGAAGCAGAACAACTCATACATTTAATTCTATAATATTTTTGGTGCTATGATTATGGTAGCTTTTGTGAGTGGGTAGCTTTGTAGAATCTCATTTTAAAAACTATTATGATAGGTAGAGGGTCACTGTCTGTGCTGTTAACTCAACTGTTATATCAAATGTATAAGACATCCTATTAAGGTTTATCAAAAGGTATTTCCTACTGTACCATCGCATGATTGTCCTATTGGTAGCAAAATGTACAAGCCAAATGAAACCATTTAATATAATAATGCCATTAGTGGGGGTCTCGTTCTCACTAGTGTGCAGAAACCACAAGTATAAAACATTTTGTCTCTCAAAAGACTTCTCAGATGCAAGGAAGAGATCACATCAAATGTTAGCATGCAGGAAAATGAGTACTGTTATTTCGAGGGTTCAAATCAGCCTAACCAATCCACGAGGCAACGGGAAATACTTTTGCCATGATAGTTCTCACCACCCCTCATGAAAACTGTATTTTTCTCACACTAACTTTCTGCTAACTCTAAGTATGAAGTGAGGAAAACAGAGCGGTCTGTGCTACTGCACATCACCTTCTGTGACGGCCACCAAGGTGCATGCGCACCGAGAAACATCCTTCATTGCAGAACAGGCAAGCACACGGGTAGCTTCCCGCCTGAACCTAGAGCAGCGGCAAGCCCGCGTTCTCAGCCAAACCCACTGCGGACTTCACTCTCTCAGGTCAGCCATCCTAACTCCCAAGCAGCTGTAGAAGATGTGTAAATGAACACACCTGTTGCTCTGCCATGCAACTTTACTGTGTATAGGAAAATGGCATTTCATATTACAGTTATAACATGAAGTATTTTCTTGTTTTGTTTCTTTTTGTGCCCAATCACTTAAAATGTCAAAACCACTCTTAGCTTACGATATGTACAAAGTCAGAGCACAAAGTGCCATTTGGCCTATGGGCTGGGGATTAGTCGGCTGTCAATAGTAACCCAGTTCCTTCAGCCTTGTTTTCTGTGTGGGCCCTTATCCTAATCCTGCGGGTCCCTGGTGTACTAAAACCCCCACAATGCAGTTACTCCCTGGAAATGTTTGCTGGGCGGATATGAGCATCTAACTGGCAAGCTCGCTCACGTTAGCTTCAGAAAGGCTAGGGACCTCAAATTCTCTCCAGATTTGTGTTCTTATCAGATTAGAGTACTGAGCATCCCTGGGATGGATAACAGCCTTCAGATGAGAACGGACACCAGGCTACTCCAGCCAGCACACCAATCATCTTAGCCAGCTCAGCTAACTAAATCTTAAGCATAAAGCGCCTCCAAAGGAAAATAGGACGGAATGCTGTGTGGACACGGATCATCATTACAGATACTTTCTGTATCTCGATTCAGCACCCAGGGAGTCCACTAGACCTCTCCTGCCTGAGCAGTAACCACGGCAAGGGCAGCATCCACTTGCTAAGGACAATCAGGAGGAAGGTGAGCTTTTTCAACCCTGGCAAAGTTTAGGCCTTGGGCCCTGTGTTTACTACTAAACAGGAATGTGAACTGACGCTCCTCAGCTCTGTGTTTGAGAGGTGATGTCATTGTTTTTCTAAAAACAAAACAAAAAATGCTCATTATAAAAAATTTAAGCCATGCTTAAGAGTGGAATGAAGTCAGCCACTTGGAGCCAGTGTGTTGCTTGTAGCGGTGGGTGAGCAGTGTTCCAGAAGCCCACGTTAGCACACGGAGAACGGGAGGAGCAGGTGGGATGACTGGAACATCAGAAGTCATAATGAGTGCTTGAAATGGAATGAATCACTTCAGATAGTGCTGTTTCCCTTAACCGGAAAGGCTCTGAATGCTGTTTCCAAATTTAAAAGAGAAAAAAAAAAGTATGTATGAAAGAGATTATGTTGAGGTTGTGTTTTGAGTTGACTTCCTGCATCATACCTAGATGAGCCTCAAGTTTCATTATAAAAACATAGTGGGCCTGTAATTCTAGCACTGAAGAGGATGAGATAGGAAATTTTCAAGTTCAAGGCCAGCCTGGGCTGTATGCAGAAATGCACACACACACATATATTTGCATGCAGTTTTACAGTTAAAAAAATCCAACTGGTACCAGAGTATTGTGTGAAAAAGTAAGAGCCACTTGCCTTGTGTCCTAGTGCCCTTCCTCTGTAGTTGGCATGTACCCTCAGACAATGATTTCTACCAAGGTTGTTATATGTTGCTTTTTTTGTTACTTTAATCCCTTTTATATCCATAAAAGTAGCTAATATGAACAATCAAGCATTAATTGATCCCTGGCTTGTCCTCATTCTATGCTACATGGATAATACAAAGGGGAAGGCACATGTGCAGGCACGGCTGCTGGTAAGGGGCAGGCGCCATTCTCTGAATGGGAAAGTGAGTCTGGGAAGCCATGCCATTCACCCTCTCCCGGAAGCAGGATTAGTTGTGTCATGGTACTTCCCCATCACAAAAAGGAAGAGCTTGTAGAGTTGACAAGACAGAGGTCACGCTGCAGGTTGCAAAACAGACATGTGCGTCTGGTACTCAGCAGGCAGCTGGGGATGGAAGGCCCTCTGAATGTAGGAGGAAGTGGGGTGGCTGACAAGAATTTCGGGAGGTCTGCTACCGCACAGAAACATCCAGGGATGGGCATCAACTCTCCCCTTGTATTTTTGAGGAATTCATCCTTACATCCACTCATACCAAAGCAGATATGGTAAGCCATGGCCAGGCCCTGCTGTCCCCAGGCAGCAACACCAGTGTCTGATGGCTCTTGTCTGAGCTGGCTTCTCCTTTTTTTTCAGACATAACGCTTAGCTCCAGGCTGCTCACTAGTAAAATCCTCCCTGCCTTCTTCTCAGAGTCAATTTTCAATGACGTATGTTCTCAGTACAGTCATATACCTTTTAGAAAAAAAGTACGTATGTTGCTCCTATAACTTTTAGGATGGTTATTCCATTAATATTGATTCATCACTGGATCATGAGAATAGAACCATTTTTGGATTTTGTTAAGTGTTAACTTACCAGCCTCAGTACCGAAACCAATACATAATTGCATATGAAATTAATATATGAATGAATGAATGGTACTTCCAAGGCTCAGAGTGGAGACATAGCATTTTTGTCTTGGAACACCACACACGATTTTTGTCAGGAGGATGATATATTTGTTAGCAGAAGTCACGGAGACAGTTGACCCCTAAAAGTGATATCAAAGGACCTATCACCCCCTCCCCAATACCCAGCCTGCCCTCTAGAAAATGGCAGAGCAAAAGAAAGCAAATGGCTGAGAGAGGGGGCACAATAAATTCATCTTCGCGTCTCTCTGAAATCAAGGCATGGAAAACCCAAAAGCCGTGCTGGAGTGGGCCATCGTCTTGTCTCCTCGCTGCTTGCACCGCCTTTCCCACCTTTAATTAGAAGCAAACGGAGCCTGACAAATACATACCGCGCACCCGATCTTCATCTCTCGAATAATTAGCTTGTACCGATGAAGGGAAATTACTTGATTGCCTCAAGTCTGTTCTTGTATGTTCCAAGCCAAGGCAATAACACTAGCAACGCTAATAACATTCCATTTAACTATTTATTCACCCAGCAAATATTTATTAGGTTTTGACTCCACGCCAGCACGGCACTGGGCACTTTGTTATTCACTGTCTGAAGTAAATGGAAGATACTTCAAACCAGGGCTTTTAAGACTCAGTGGAGAGAAAAACTACATTCCGGTACAGCAATGAGGACTTTGACTCCCTTTAGAAAACCTTGGGCCTCGGCTGAGTTTATCCTCCAGCCCTGGGCCTCCAGCACAGCTGAAGACAACCAATCATTCAGCTGCCCTGCACATGTCCTTTCCCACACCGCCAGTGCCACTTCAGACCAGTTTGGGGCAGTTCTGACAGTCACGGAACTGCTGCTCCCCGGTGCGGTGCCGCCACGCCTAAGGGAGCACATGCACCATGAACCAACAAAATACCCCCAGTTTAGATAAATGCACCCCACTCTCTGAGGTCTGATGAATGATCAACAAGTGAAGCCAAACTGTGCTTTGCAGAATGAGCTTTCTTTGCGAAGCCTTGTTCGAAACGATACACTGTTGCATGCCGGGAGAAGACAAGAGTTTGAGACCGACGTGGGTGAACAAATAAACAGATACTTTTCTCCAGCTCTAAAAAACGAGGGCTGTGACTGAGCCGAGGCTACAAGGGAGAAGAGGAAGATTGGACTGGCTTTCTGTGGAGGACCCGGGCACACAGCTGTTTTCAGTCAATTAAAGGTCGTCTTCGTTCCATCAGCCTGCTTCACCAGCTGCTTGTTTGCTGTTTCCTGTGGGAGCGTGGGCCTGTTACCCTGGCACTGAGTCCTAGGAGGGAACTAGCTGTCCACCCCTCTCTGCTTCAGGGTGCCAGTGCTGAGTGCCAGGGTGCCAGGCCCCCTTGCAGTTAGCTCAGTTTTTTTTTTTTTTATCACAGCACATCTTGTGTGAACCCCAGATAACTCTCACCTCGTCAGTCTCACAAGCATGTGGGAATGTGTGCTTGTGTGAGTACACATGCACCCACACACACAAGCATGGCACATACACACCCACACACACCCCAGGCAGTCTTTCTCCCATTAGCGACTTGTTCGGGCCAATTAGAAACATTTGTGTTCATATGAAAGCTCCGTCAGTGGGCTGGATTGCCTTGGAATTGTTCATAGCCTCGGAAAGCCGAGCTAGATTATTAAATTTTACTTGAAATTCAATTGGGTGGGAGGTGGGGAAGGTGGGAACATTCTTTCTAGAAAACGTGTAACTATAAACTGCCCTTTCCAAGTGATCACACAGAAATGTAGTTCCTGGGCTGGCCACAAGGAACAAGCTAGCTATTACAAATATGGCAAAATCTCTATTTCTGTTTCATGTTTTCCATAGTTATTGCTACTATCGGATTTTTCAAAACACTGCT